CACTGAGCCACTTGATTGAGCTCCATACTGATGCAGTTCTGCATATTGTTCTGCTCATGAGGGAAGAATGGATACACTACTTTTAGATCATCTACATATAGAAGAGGCTTATCTGCTCAGAAACAATCGGAAATATCATTTATGTAAACTAAAAAGGACCTAAGACACTACTTTGTATTACCCCACACTTGACCGGAACAGCATCTGAGAAGGAGTGGCTTATTTCGACCACTCGGTGCCGTTGGCTGGGGAAAGAATTAAACCAAGCAAGCGGAAGGTTTCTAATCTCATCAGGTGAGTTAGCTGATAGGAAGCTGATGATTAATCATGATGAAAGCTTTAGGAAATTCTAGGTACGGCACCAAGATTAGGTGTCCTTAGTTACGTTGAGCAAAAACTAAATTGAAGAAGTCAAACAATGGAATACAAATTCATAAATGTTAATTATTATGGTGGAGTTTCATTCTCTGAGCTGGATGGTTTGGTTATGGAACTTTTATTGCTCTTCTGAACAATACCAGCAAAAACTTCAGTTAGTAGTAAAGTATTCCAGTATTTACAGTTTACAGTGAATCGAATTATTAGGAAACTCAAGAAATACTATCACAGTAGTGTGTATATTCTCTTCTTACTGTCCTTCGGACAGACAAAGAGCGATTATATTAGGATATTCATCCAATATCCTAAGATAATTGTCTGTAAGTCTAATTCTATCGGTCAATTCCTATTGGTCGTCTTAACTGTCAATATAACCGACTTCAATTTTGTTTCCTATTTGACCTAACTGTATAAATACGCATTATCTGTAACGTTTTAGGACTCGGACCCGGATCCCTAGTCCAGGATCCTGATTCTCTTCTGGACTCGGACTTCGTACTTTCTGGATGCTTGTAGAATACATGTTCTACTTCACATCAGGTCTTCTTCTTTTATTCAATGGGGGTTTGGGACGCTCGGATCGGAGTAGCCTGTCGTGTCTCCCGAACCTCGATCCTCGCTCTCGTTTTCCGACTAAGGTAAACTTGTAATAGTTCAAGCATATCAACTGACGTATTCGCGCGCATGCTTAACAGATCACACTCTACAGAATCAATCCATAAAATATGTTCAACGATAGAAAATAATTGTAAAACAACTGAGGATAAATGGCGGCTAATTACTGCTTTGTAACTCTTTATATGCTTCCTTTTAGAAATTCACAAGTTAAATGTTCAAAAAAAGGAAATTCCCTTATTACTCGTCATATTTTCAGCTGATTCTTCTGTAGTAAAGAAATTTATAGTTTTGAATGCGGTCAGTATTATGATTCTAACTAATGAACACTAAATTAGCTTATCAAAGTTTGTAAATAAATTTTTTTATTTGAAAACTACATGACCGAAATAACGAGATGGCTTATTTTTATGAAAAAAATGCTTATTTTTTCTTTATCGAAACCAACAGTGACAATAATGATGTCAGAAAAAGAATTTCATATTGTAATCCACTGTTTAATCAATCATCAACTGTTAGATAATCAACTAGGTTTTAGAATAACTAATCACTGTGTGTGTGTGTTTCAGCGATTGTCTCCGAAACGAATTCATGACAAAACTTTTCCTTCTCCCCCCGCCCGTTGCCCCTTTTCAATCAATGCAGATCAATCCAAAATGTAGCTTATTTGATAGTTATTCAACTATTTTGTGGAAAATATAATTGATTAATTTAGTTTCAATATCAATTTATCAAACTGACTTTTAACTGATGAAGTTTCTTCTTTTCTGGCATTAGAAAATATTTACATTTTATTGCTTAATTCTTAGTTTTTTTTTGTATCTATTTTGAAACCGATTACTATTAGTGGTTTTCTCTTTGTGCTAATTACATGTTGACATTGAGATTATTTACAAATAAACTAATATTTTTATATAGGCAAAATTGCAAATTACTTAACAATGAAGGAGAATTCATCAACATCTCTCTTTCGAATCATGTCAAAAAATCCTAATCTTCTGGATTCGTCAACTTATCTCACTGAATAATACTTCTTGAATAATATCTTCGATTCTTAATCTTCTCCATTAGCAGTAATTCTTCTACTATCTCTCTACCACTATAGGATTTGAATTGACAATTGCGTCTCTGTACTAATATGGTATGGCAAGATGAATTGATGTATGTACGTACGTACGAAGTTCTACATTGTAAATGACTGACTGACTGACTGACTGAACTAATACGTAGTGATTTTTAAAAAGAAAATTAAATAATGGAAAGAATCGCAACATCAATTCATCCAATCCTTTGATTACTAAATAAGTAAATTCAATCAAACAAACAAATGAAAAACAAGAGAGAATAAAAACTAAGATAATTTTGATAAACAAAATTATGTTCTGTATATATGTATATATATATGTAGATACATTTTAAATATACATACAAATATTTTGTTGCATACATATATATATATATATATATATATATATATATATATATTGTATATCTGAAATGGGAATAGCGCCTACAAAAAAAAAACACTGATAAGCAATGAAGGCGCAAAATAGAAATCAGTCACAATTTCTCACTTACATAATAATAGTAAATATTAACAATAATGACAATGTAAGAATAATTGTCAACATCAACACACTAGTAGTAAGTCGTGTTGGTCATCGTCGTCGTCGTCAATAATATTCATTGAAATCTCTTCTGTATTATGTGTACGTACGTGTAGATGTGCATGCTCATTGAAAAAGAAAAACAATACAAGACAAAAACTATTTTGTATTCATTGAACAAGTGAAGAAGTATGTTTAAATAAAAAATGAAATGAATTGTAGGAAAAAAAGCAAAAAAAAAAATTGGATAACAAGAATTCAAGATGAATAACACACGTATGAAATTTATGTTTCATCATATATAAAAAAAAATTGAAAAGAAATTTATGATGAACTTTTGTGTCTATTCAGTTTAGGATGTTTATATATATATATATATATATATATATATATATATATATATATATATATATATATATATATATATATATATATATATATCATAGAAAGACAGTTGGTTATTATTGAATAATTTGTCTGAATACTTTTAATGTAAAGAAGTTATAATAAGCTGCAAATCAATGAAAAAAGGAGGACGGTGGGGGGGAGGGGAGGGAGAAATGTGTAGATAATAAAAGAAGTGAAGAAAAATCTTTGAATTAATTATTCAACTCTATATTTCTTCTTTTTTTTTCAATACAATTAAACATTCACAGTATAACGCTAACACTAACAATGAATCTGTTATTTATGAAATGATTAGAATGAAATCAACTCAAAGATAATTAACTAAACATAAATATATATATGTGTGTATATAATTATGCTTTTAATAATCACAGATGATAGATGCATGAAAAGGATAGGTAATTTACAAGATGTAATAGTAATAATGGTAATAATAATGATACTGTTAATGAATATAAGTTAATATGTTGACCAAATATGTCTCTATCATGTATACCAATCTTGTAACAAGTTTATAACCAACTGAAATGATAACATGTTCACAAAATATAAGTATCTAATTTGTATTTCTGATTACCATGATTTTTGAATAGTAGTTATGAAATTTATTAAAAACAAAACAGGGAAGATAATCGAATTAAAAGTATAGTTCAAAGATGGGTATGCATGAAAGGGTGAGTGAGTGTGTGTGTGTGTGTGCATAAACAGAATCGTACATAGGCAGAATGATACTAAAAGATAAGCACAAAAATATAACAACCAAGCACATTAGTCATAGTAGCAGTCTAAGAGAGTAGGGAGCATCATGTGAAATTTATGAGGTAGGTATGACCTAATGAAACATATGAATATGTGTAGTACATTGTTTACAGTTATTCACTTGTTACAATTCATCATAAAAGAACAAAACGAAAAAGAAAGCATACCATTCATTGTGAAACTGATATTGTTAATGACATCCACCTGAAGACAATTTGCTTTGTTGATAATTCACATTAAAAATGTCTCATAAATCTGACGACATTAATTCATGAACAGAATCCCACTTCAAACATTGTATTGAGAAAGACGTAATTTATTTTATTAATTTAACTACTAACATGATATTTAAGTAGTAAATAAAAAAATATGCCCAAAAGAAGAAATGAACATGTACGCGTCTTTTTTTTTTAGAAGGCGTATATGTATATGCAAATTTAACAAAATGTACTTGTAAATAAACTATGTCAAAGGTAAACAAATAAACAATGAATGCAAATGAAATGAACACATATACTTATGTGATTTGTGCGTTTGTATGCATTGTTTGTTTAACAACTCAAACCAAACTCATATACATGTATATATATATATATATATATATATATATATATATACATGTGAATTGGATCTTCTGACTAATATTGACGATTAGATAAATAAACAGCTGCCTCTTGAAAATTAAAAATAAAGAGATTAGTCAATTTATTGTTACTGTTTCTGTATACACCTCTTCACCCAATGTTCACACAGTAGTAATCACAATAATAATACTTACCAATATTAGTCAAAAAAAATGCGTGTAGAACATACACATCCTACTTATGTATTTATATGTGTATATTCAAAGTGACGATTTGAAATTGTTCTAATATTGTATGTTTACAAGGTCACGAGAAAGAGGGAAGCCTAGTTGAAGATACAGAAGAAAGACATAAATCTGTGCAAATTTTTGGGGGCCGTTGTGTGTACATTGTATACATGCGAAGATACGCACACACACGCACACACCACATACTTGTCTCACTCTTTTTTTTCTATACCTCTAAAGGTTTTCTTGTAATAGATTAATGGATCAAACAATGATTCGATTTTCATTTATTGTGCATTTATATAGAAATATATAACATCTCTCTTCAGACTAACGAGAAATTAGCAAAATTGAAGAAAGTAAAAAGAAGGAAAGGTGTTTTCATACAACAAGAAAGACAATAATTTTCACTTCGGAAATTTTTATTGTCCATTTAATTGAGTTGACTGTTGCAGTTGTGTAATACAACTGGACTCGTTATTATTATTATTATTTGTAGTAGTAGTAGTAGTAATAGTATCTTTGATAGGAATACTTGGTGATTCACTTGAATTATTGTTATTATTATTACTATTATTATTATTATCACAGTTGTTGAAGGTAGTTTTAAACGATGAATAAGTAGTATTGTTTGTAGCTGTAACAGTAGTAGAATTGTTAGAAAAGTTATTATTTACATCTTTGGTTGAGTTAGATTCATCCGTAGAGAGATTAGTATTACTATTATTATCATTATTAATAATACGTGTATCAGTATTATTATTATTAGTGGTAGTGATAGTAGTAGGATTACTCGTAGTTGTATTGGCAATAATAGTAATAGGATTACTGACAGATTTCAATGATTCCATACTTGTAATAGAAGTGAACGATTGTGCAGGTAAAACAGGATAAAGTGGGCTTACTGTTGGTGTTAGAAGAAAAGATTGTTGTATACTATTTGTAATAATACTATTATTGTTGTTATTATTATTATTATAATTATTATTAATATTGTTATTATTATTATTATTGTTAGTAGTAGTAGTAGTAGTATTAGCAGTAATATTACTACTGGAAGTTAAATTTTTCAATAATTTCCATGTGGATGGTGTAAGAATGGGTGATAAATTTTGTAAATCTGATGACCAAAAACATGGTGTTAAATTACTTGAATTTATTTGATTTATTCCATCAGTAACTTTCGATAGAGCTTGACGTTGTGCTTTGATTAAATCTAAAGGTTGAGCTAATGATGATGATGATGACGATGAAGATGGTAGTAGAGTGGATGGACGAGAAACAAAACGTGTGACAATATTTTTTGTTGTTGAAGTATCACTTGTTTCTGAAATTAATTTAGTTGATGTAGACGAAGTTAAACGATTCTGATCTTCGCTGGAATTAATTATAAGACCACCATTACTACCACTACTATTAGTTGTAGTAGTAGTCGAAGTATTGATCGTGTCATGAATATTTTCAACAGTATCAGTTGCATTATTAGTAGTGATGCGAGTAGTAGCAACAGTAGTATTAACTGTGGAATGGATATTATTATTATTATTAGAAGTATTTGGGATAAGTGGAACAAAACTTGTAGTTAGACGATTATGAAGACGCAATTCTGATTTCGATAGATTCGAATGAGCATTCAAATGATTAGATACCGATTTACTACTACTAGCACTACTAACTGTGACAGTAGCACCAGTTGTACTGTTCATTGTAGAAAAAGTTGAAATCAATCCAACAGAAGATGAAAGGTGTGAAGCTGTAGGATTAGAAGAAGAAATAGATAAACGTTCGGACATAGTAGTATTTGATGTCCCTGTGGATGAAACTATAACCAATTTGTCATCATAATATGCGGTGTTCCCTCCAATCAAATCATCTGTTTTTAAATGATCTAAACAATTTTCCAATAATCCAGAACTTTCAGAATAATTTCTATTCATAGACAAAATTTTCTCTGCCGCAGAGCAACCAGCATTCTGAAATTATAAAAGCATTCAAGATCAAAATATAAAAGATCCTTCAAAGTAAAAAAAAATACGATTTACAATGAATAAATAGCAATACAATACAAAAAATAGAAAATGATTCAATGAAAATGACACACTAACAACCAGAAAATAACGATAAAAGCAGAGCAAGAAATACGAACGAAACGTTTATGTATCCGAAAAATATCTGACATAGTTATTTTACTAAGTAAACATTTATGTGCTCATGCATTTAGACTAAACAAATTGATTACGATAATTTCTAAATGCTAAACTGAAAATTGATATATAAGGTGATCTTCAAGTTGACAACCTGTTGAATGAAAGCCGAATGGATATGTTTCATTCAACTCAATAAACTAAAATACTAATATCGATTACCGTGGATAGCATTTGTAGAATCAGTCGGACATATTCAGAATGTTAGTTAGAGAAGCAAACGACATTTATAGTGATGATGAAATCATTGGAGTCCCTGTGACTACTGATGAGTGAAGTCTCACAATGATAGAATAATCTGATTACTAGTAAAGCATAGAAATTAATAGAGAAGGAATCCATAGTTATTTGATGGGTAAGGTTATTTTATTCCGAAAAAATACATGAACACACGCCAATGTCCTTCTGCATCTAAGCATAATCATATACAGTTATTCATCAGTATATATCATTCTCTATCATTATCTTTCATTAATTCAGTTGCCCTACAATGCCGAATACCAAATTCTTCTTACCTGATATCACATCTTGATCGTAATCGTAGTAATCATAATCATGATGACGATAATAATAAGAATAACTTCATATCGAATTAATATCTACAAACAACTCATTGAAAAATATCTAAATAAAACTACTCTTTGTAAGTCTAGTCATTGTAGACAAAAATACGAGTATTCCTATTCGATATCTCCCACCAAACATTAACACGTCACAATTAATACCAAAATGTAAACACTTGAAATCAACAACAGTCAAGTATAACAGTCATTCACACTAACAAGAATTTTGAAGAACAAATGTTATTTCAATTTCGACCATGATTGTTTAGTCGGATGCCCTTTTATTGAACACATTCATTGAATTATTGGTGAATGGAGAAGTTTTGTTCAGTCGATTGAACGGTTTCATGAGGTAGTTTTATTGGAACATATTTCCTATGCACTGATCGGGTAGTTAGCTAGTTAGTTAGTTAGTAAGTTATGAATGGGTAGGTAGATGGCTTAATAGTTACATGGGTGATGGGGACTGCACACCACCCATATTCAGTATACTACTATCACAACTACAAGCAGTTGAAAAACAAGCAGGTTGAAACTAGTTTCGACAAGTACTTATTATAATCATTATTATTATTATTATTGGTGGTTGTAGTAGTGCTATTTGTTGTCAATTCTGTCGTTCTTGTATTAGTATTGTGTTCAAATGCAAGTAAACAAAAGGTCAAGTAAGGAATAACCATCTTCACTATATATTTCACATTGATCTTTACACAATTCAATAAAACTCATGTTAGTTGTTTGGAGACAGTAACAACTAGTCACAAAACTATATTCCATACATTAGTCGAAGTGAGTTTGAACACAACAAAGAAAATACACATTCACATCACATGAAATTGATATTGGATTTCGCATCTTTCTCACTGAAAATACCATTCACACTGTTCACATAACATCACATGTAGACAGATGCTGGCAAGTATTCCATCACCAATGAACATCGCCACAGTATTCATTAATTGAATACTGTGTGTGGGATACAAGAGCTAGGTCATCAAGATGGTCAAGCTACGTACTAGATGTCCACCGTATCACTTGCTTGTTGACGTCTTCATAATCCAGTCAGCCACTAGGAGAAAGAGGTTGATCAGATGGGTGGATCTAATGCAGATGTGAAGATTCGGATTAACTAGGCAAGTGAAGCATTTCTACAGTCGAAAAACATCGGCAACTCAAAATAGCTGTCAAAATACAACAAGATCAGAATATTCAACAGCTCTATAGTAGGGAGAACAATCACCAAAAAATATCAATATTTTTTGGCAGCTGTCTACGCAAGATACTCCTCATTCGTTGGCCAGACACCATCAGTAACAACCTACTGTGATAGAGAACAAACCAGATTTAAGTGGATAAAGAAATCAGGAAAAAGAGCTGAAGGGGGATAGGACATACACTGTGGAAATCACCCAAATCCTTACTGAGGTAACCTCTGACTTGCAATCCTCAATGCTAAAGAAAAAATGGTAGACCAAGGAATACACTGCGTCGAGAATTTGAGACAGACATGTAAAAAGTGAAAAGCAACTGGTTAAAATTGTAAAGGAGGGCGGAGGACAGAGATGGATGGGGGGAATGCTGGTTGGCGGCCTATGCTCTACTATTAGAGGTGGCAGGCGTAATTAAGTAATTTAAGTAAAAAAATTATACTAACCAGTATTAGAAAGATATAACTTTCTATTGAGTAAAACCAGTTTTAATATTCACATATTCTTCAATTAGTTACTAAAAGGAAATCATCAATAATTAGATAATAATGCTTAACTATGCACAATACCAACAAGACATAATGTTTATGAATAATAAGGTATGGATGGCGTTAACTGGATTTCGATATTTCCTATTTTAATTCAACCATTTAGTAACATCATCATATATAAATATCATAGTTTAGCTGATTAATATACAAGATTTGGGACACGCCTTTTGTTGTTTGGATGTTTCTTTTCCAAAACAAGAACAGTAACCTTGATGATTTATTTAAACAAGGTTGATTTAAACACACAACAAGCGGACCTGTCTATTTATAGCTAGTCTAATCCTAGTTAAGACTGACCCATACCTTTCATTCAGTGCACATGCGTATGTTTATGTGCGAGAAGGTATGCTGGAATCAGATCAATAGTATCAAACACCGGGAAGTTTCAGTGAACAACTTTAATGTTTCGCCCATATTTAACAAAAAAAAAGTAGCATTATGTGACGATGATTGATTCATTATTACTTAAATATACCATACACATTGTTATGTTGATAGAGTAAGAACAACAATTTGAAATATTCAGAAAAACATGAATTTCATTCGTCTGTCAACAGTTGTTATTAACTAATCTGTTTTATTTCAAGAAGGAGATTTCAAGTAAAGTTAATTATCATGCTGACAGAATTCATTTTGATAATCTTCAAAAAAAAGGAAAAAAATCAAACACAACAATGCATGCACATCAGCATAAAAGCTTCTAATTCGTACACAGCTTCCTCATCTAATGTGATTTAGTTGGTACACGCTGTGTTGAATTTTAGGGTTTTGCTTTTCTTCTTGGTTAAGTTTAGGCCCTGATGTTGCAGCCATATGCTATTAAACAATTTCCTAATCAGCAAATAATCTCGGTATATGATGATTCAGATATCAAAGATGACTGACTTTGAAATAGAATCTAGACATTCAATTTATCAAAATATATAAAAGTCTTGTCAATTCTACATACTTTAACTATAGCATGCATGAGAGAATTAGTTACATCATAAATTCAGTCACTAATCAACATTTCTTAACTTCGGATAACAATTCAACGTAATTTATCAAATGATTCATACTATTGTTCTTAATAAAATTTTATTCATAAAGCACACTTTGTTTTTTTTTATTCTAAACCCAATAGATTACATTGTACGTGTCAAGCATATCCCTGAAAATAGTGAATATTCAATGACGAAATTCACTGATCATATGCTAACGTATGTAGGTTATGTAACACATCTGTTAATTTACAAACTGCAGATAATAATCGACTGTTCAAACTCTAATTTATACGTTCATTAATGCTAAAACCCTTGACAGACAGACAGACAGAAAAAACTCAGAACTTAGTACATAAGTACATCAGTTCAGGTTGCCATACCACGTCAGCACAGAGACGTAACTGTCAGTTCAAATCCAAGAATGATAGCGATAGTATGATTATTAGCATCAATGGAGAAGATTAGGGAGCGAAGATATGATTCGAGAAGTATAATTCAGTGAGATAAATTTAGAAGCAGAGAGAGAGATTACGAGGAATTCAGAAGGTTAGAACTAAAAAGCACACAAAGAGTGGATGCACCTGCGCCATTGCAAACGATTCTGAGCAATGTAATTCAACGTCTATAACCATCAGTTACTTTCGTCTCGCGGACCCCAACTAGGTAGCCCACATCTACTAACATGACTCAGTCCACTTGTCAGTGACTTCATAGATTTCTGCCATGTTTTGGTTTAGCCAACTCTAGCTTTCGTCCAACCTATTCCTACATCGCAAAACAGTCGGTGGTTAGGCATACGTAACACATGTCCCAACCACCTCAAATGATTAAGTTTCAGTGCTTCATCTATTGATTTTCCATCTTTACCCAAAAGTCGTTTCCTAACGATAGCATTGCTTGCTCGGTCGTCCCAGGATGCACGAGCAATGCTTCGGATACACCTATGATCGAAGACTAGTAACCTACGAATATCCTCTACTCTTAACGGCCATGTTTCCCATCCATATAGTAGGACAGAGCGAACTGCTGCGCAGTACACTCGTCCTTTGGTTAGCAAGCGGATATCTCGCCTGCGCCATAAGTGGCAAAAGCCAATCGAGCTGAAACCAATGAATCGAATTAGGTAAATAATAACTGAAAAAAAATACGAAAATGTTACCAAGTGCGTTAAAAGAAAGTACAATTTTTACTGTCGGTTGTTGGTTAGAAACATTTTACTATTTTTAGGTATAGATTAACTGAGATTTTAAGAGACATATTTCTGCTTATTTCCTCTTATTTTATGATAAATTCATGAAAAAAACACATTAAAAAACAAATTTTACGGTCACTTAATCCATTTGTAGCATAATTTTAAATGAAATATATTTTGTAGTTTTCAAAATACCTGTATCTATCTTACATAAACAAATCAACTAACTACCGAATAATTTAGATCAATGCCCATACAGAAGTATGAAAAGA